CCGGCGGCCCGCACGCCCAGCTGCCGACTCCGCCCACGAGGGGCCGCCCCGTGCCCGCCCCCTCCCGGGAAGCCGGCGCACCCCAAAACCCGGCGCTGGAGCGGCGGAGCGCGCGCGGGCGCCTAGACCCCGGGGGCAGCGGCCAACCGGCCCACCGCGCGCCGGGCCAGGCGGCCTCTGAGAGGCCACTTGGCCCTCCAACTCTTCCGTGGGGAAACCCCTTGTCATTCAGTCATTCATTCCTTCACCAAGTATCTTGAGTGCGTGTCGTCCGTCCTACATTGTTACAGGCTCTAAGCATATGGCAGTTATCAGAATGGTCCCTGCTTTTTTGGATCTTAATGCATGGGGAATTAAATAGATAATGTTACACAACAAAAATTCAACCCAGTACAATTGAAGATCTAATTCGCTTTATTGATTCACGGAATGGGGTAGCATCCCCATCTGGCAACTGGAAGGGAGCACTAGGTAGTTGTATAAAATAGGTTTTTATAGGAGGGAGGGTGGGACAAGGAAGTTATTAGCAAAAGAAAAGAAAGGATTGGTCCCGGTAAGGTCACCTTATCTTAGGGACTAGGGCCCAGGGTCTAACTGGGGGATTAACTCATTTTCCTTTGGGGGTTGGGGAGGGCCCATATGACATACTAGCTCATTTGTGCTAGATCAGGAATCTCCTGATTGACTTGTTAAGACTACATTTCTGGGGGTGGTTGGAACTACAATTAGCTTAGGTATTAAGCCCCGGTATAATGGGTCCATTTGGAGCCTGTGGTTTTCTTTTTAACAGTAATAAATTTACAAAATAGGTAGCACCCCAGATGATGATGAGGGCTATGAGGAAAGGGAAAGCAGTGTGTGAAAATGGGATAATGACTGGAGTTTCTCTTTCTAGTAATGGTGGAGCTAAGATATTTATATCAACCCACCTCAGAAAACAAGAAACACTAAAGTCTGGAATATTTACTTTTAATGTTCTTAGAGGAGTGCATTAGTTTGCTAGGGCTGCCGCAATAAAATACCACAGACTGGGTGGCTTAAACAACAGTAATTTATTTTCTCACGGGTCTGGAGGCTAGAAGTCCAGGATCCAGGTCTCAGCAGAGTTAGGGAAACTGAATGGACTCTATTTTAGACAGGCTTCATCTCTGCTATTTCTCTGCCAGGCCCCATTTACTTCTGTTCTGTATTTCACCTTGCATCTGAGTAAACCAAGGAAGCTATGTTCCCACTCCAAGGGGGGAAGCAAGAAAGTTATTCATTCTCTGAGTTTCATCCTAGGCCCCCATATACCTGATAACATCTAAGAAGAACCAGATCCCGAGCTTCAGGACATGAGGTTTGAACAAACTTCCGTTGACACTGGCACCCATAATCCCTATCTTCAGTGACTTATAGAGTAACAGCTATTGTCCACCTGACACTCCTTTGATCGGACCTAGATTCCTAAAAGAACACATACCCTGGACCGCTTACCCCCAGCAACAGGCAGACTCACTTCTCCCTTTACGAACCTCTCAGATACTCTGCCTACTATGCTCTATCACTTACGCTACTCAGTAAAGTCTGCTATCACTTTCTCCTGGCTTGAGTTTCATTTCTATCCTGTGCAAAGCCAAGGACCCTCTTGGCTGGTCCTGCAGGAACCCCTCCATCCCCTGCCCTCTGCCCCAATCCTCAGACCAGGCCTGCCTATGTCGGCAGAGTTGGTTTCTCCCGAAGCTCTACTTACTCCTTGGCTTTCTAATGGCTGCCTTCACTCTATGTCCTCATATGGTCTTTCCTCTGTGTGCTTGCAGGCCCCTGGTGTCTCTCTGTGTGCAAATTTCCTCTTCTTATAAGGACACCTCTTCTTATAAGTCAGGTTGGGTTAGAGCATACCCTAATGACTCATTTATCTTAATCGCTTCTTTAAAGTAATTAATAAATGTAATCACTTAAATATGGGATTAAATACAGCCACATTCTCAGGTACTGGAGGTGAAGGTTAGGGTCTCAACATATGAATTTGGCAGGGGGCAGGGCAGTGGGGAGGACGCAATTCTGCCCATAACACAGTTCTGCCCATGTTATGGTGCCCATAACATAATGTCATAGACAAGGCATCTAAGAGATGGCAAGACAGTAGGAAATTACCAGACCAAAAGATAGAAAGTCAGGATCCAGGAAGTAATCCAACTGGTAAAATGCTCTTGCCCCGAGTAAAGGCGTTAACAATAAACATATATGGAGTGGAGGGTGTTTGCACCTGCATCACTAAAAGCTGCATAGGGAGAGAAGGGAGGACATGACCAGTAAAGGGAGTGAAGACGTGATATGGCATTGGTGCAAGTGGGTTGGAAGAATTTTTCAAACTGGGTACTAGAATGTGTTTGCTGTAGAGACATACATGCAAAAATTGTGTGTGTGTGTGTGTGTGTGTGTGTGGTAAAAAAAACACAAAACACAAAACAAACGTAACATAAAATTTACCATCTAACCTCCTTTAAGTGTACAGTTCAATAGTTTTTTTTTTTATTTTTTTCAACGTTTATTTATTTATTTTTGGGACAGAGAGAGACAGAGCATGAATGGGGGAGGGGCAGAGAGAGAGGGAGACACAGAATCGGAAACAGGCTCCAGGCTCCGAGCCATCAGCCCAGAGCCTGACGCGGGGCTCGAACTCCCGGACCGCGAGATCGTGACCTGGCTGAAGTCGGACGCTTAACCGACTGCGCCACCCAGGCGCCCCTACAGTTCAATAGTTTTAACTATATTCATATTGCGAAACAGACTTCCAGAACTTTTTCATCTTGCAAATCTGAAATTCTATGCCCATTAAACAAGAACTCCCCTTTTCCCTCTCCACCTAGAACCTGGGAACCACTAGTCTACTTTCTGTTTCACTGAATTTCATACTTTTGATACTTTATATAAATGGAACCAGACAACGTTGTCTTTTTCCACCAACATTTTAACATTGGTAATATCTAGGTTCTGTCATGTTTATTTTCTTTACACATCTCTGTGTTTTCATAAATGAGCATTTACTTTATAACAAGGAGAAAACACACAAAATGCAATATTAATGGTTTGTTTCTGAATGATTATGTTTACCTAGCATAATAAATGTGTTGTGTAGTGCCTATTAAAAATGCCGCTTGACAGAGGCGCCTGGGTGGCTCAGCTGGTTGAGCGTCCGATTTCAGCTCAGGTCATGATCTCATAGCTCATGAGTTCGAGCCCCGCGTTGGGCTCTATGCTGACCGCTTGGAGCCTGCTTGGGATTCGGTGCCTCCCTCTCTCTCTGCCCCAACCCACTCGCATTCTGTTTCTGTCTCTCTCAAAAGTAAATAAACATTTAAAAAAATTTTTTTAAATGACAGATGAAAAAATAAGTTTGACTAAGATCACAAAGTTAGGGGGTGGTAGAGTTGGAATTTGAATACATATTTTTAGGATTTCTGAATGCAAACTCTTCACCACTCTGCTATGAAGGCTTAGGATCTGAGCACAACCTAATGTTCAGTGAAAAACAATTGCAGTTCAAAAGACAGCTAAACCATGATTCTAATTAGGGAAAAGCACACACAAAGAGGACTCAAAATAACAAAAATAATCCTCTATGTTATCCCTGTAATGAAGGACAGGGAAACGTTATTTTAGCTCTATAGTATTAGGTACTGAATTGCCCATGCTGGTGCTCTCCTCCCACCTCCAAACACCACCCATGAGTAAGTATTACATCTTCATTATTCTGAGAAAATTAGTGAAAACAGTGACCAAAGAGTTAAGGGGACTAATTGCAGCTGCAGGGTAATAAACTCAACTGCAACTTGTTACCCTTTTTGTTTGCCTTTAAACCTCCCTGTCTCTCCTTGGAGAGGATGATTTAAGATTTGCCCTCCCATTTCCTTATTTTGCTGCCTCTCGAATAAACCCTTTCCTTGCTGCATACTCCATTATCTGATCGTCTTTGTCGCCCATCCCATGGATAAACTTGGGTTCGGTTACAAACTTGGGGAGCCATCCAGGAGCTCTTTGCCCATGGGTCATCAGCCCTCAGCCTGTAACAGGAATCCAGCGATGAGTCCCAGCAGTACCTAGGCTCTTTGTCCCGGGGACTGTCCCCAGGCTCCAGTCCACCCTGGTTAGGCTTGAGCTGCCAGCTTTCAGTGCTCAATTTTTTTTTTTCAACGTTTATTTATTTTTGGGACAGAGAGAGACAGAGCATGAACGGGGGAGGGGCAGAGAGAGAGGGAGACACAGAATCGGAAACAGGCTCCAGGCTCTGAGCCATCAGCCCAGAGCCCGACGCGGGGCTCGAACTCACGGACCGCGAGATCGTGACCTGGCTGAAGTCGGACGCTTAACCGACTGCGCCACCCAGGCGCCCCTCAGTGCTCAATTTAACTCTTGTGGCAAGGAAACAGGTCTGGGTTTGGTTTGGACAGATGTCTCTTGGTGAATATTTCATACGGAGGGCTTGTGAGCTTTCGTTTCCCCGTTTGGCTTGGCTCTTAGATTTATTCCTCCATTTAGATGCCTCCAAATAGGGTATTTGGGTTCTCTTAGCCTCCCTTTCCTGGTTGATTAAGAAAAGGCTGATGAGGA